GTGCTGGTCCAATTTGCAATTTATAGAAGTGTGATGCAGAAACTTGAAGCCACCAGTGCACATACACTGAGAATGGACTTTACAGTGATGTAGAAGACATCTTCTGTCCAGCAGGAAATCTTTAGAAATGAACTAAATTTGCATATTCATAGAGTCTGGAATGTTTAATGAGGTAGTAGTAGTAATAGAGGTAGTAATGAAGTAGTAGTCTTTTTTAGGATTTTAATGTGGAAATTATACTTTCTTTTGCAGAACACACACTATTGTTCCAAGCAGACTATTGACTATGTCTTAACACATGTCTTGAGGAGATATTTAAATAAAGGTCTGAAAAATAAAAATAACATTGTGTAGCAGAATTTTGATATTTTCTTTATATTTTTATATTTTTATTATATTTATTCCCTACCAGTAATCAGCTCACATCCCCTTAAAATAATCTCATGACCCTTTGTCTCAGCCCCCAGGTTGGGGACCACTGGTCTTGTCTTTGTAAGACCCAAAAGTGACATTTGATAGAGCCAAAAAAATCTTACCTCCTTGAAGCCATTCAGCAATCTGCACAGGAAACACGCATTTCCAAAAAAAACACAGTTAAATCTACCATTGTTGTCTGAAGTGTTTGTTTTACACTAGTATCCCTAAGTTAGTGGTGATATTTTTTTCCCTTTTCAACGCTAGGATAGACAAAGGCTTTCCCTCATTATCTGTCTAAGAATATCATTGGATGAATGTTTTTGCTTCATCTTACTTAAAATAGCTTATTAGTATGGTCCGTGATGATCCTTCCATGACCACAATTCAGTAGGGAGACATCTTAGTACCCACAGGAATTCTGAATTCCCATGTGCACTATGGTGTAGCATAAGGTCATTAAGCAGTTATGTTGTAAGTAATATTATGATTTACTTGATGTTAATGGTAAATCCGCTTGCCAGAAGAGGGAACTAGAGTGCTGTAAAAACAGCACAGTGTGTTTGTCAATAATGACACACACACACACACACACACACACACACACACACACACACACACACACACACTGACTTTTGATACATCAAATACTGAAAGGGGCGAAATGATGCAGATCCATTCCAAGCATTCTGCAATTTGAATCCACTTCTGCACATTTTTGAAGGCTGCCCCAAAATTTCAAAGGAGCTAAGATCACACAGATCAGGGATTCATCCTGTATTTGTTTGCTCAAGTGTCACTGAGGGCAGTGCAGTATACAGCAATATACAACCATATACTGTTTTCTGTTCCACTGAGCATTGATGCCGATCTTTTCTCAGTCCTGACATGTCGCGCTGACGGGCAGCGTTTGCCCCTGCTGAGGAAAGAATCGAGTAAACACACGTTGACATCAAAAGCTAAGAGTTCCCTGCCAGCTCTCGATGGGGGTTAAGGGTTAATAATAGACATGTGCATTCACTCATACTTGCACACACAGCACACATACAACTCTAATTGTGACCAGGGGCCATCGTACATCAGTCGGTGACTGACATAAGATGACAGGGTCCCGCCTCTGATCTATTTTATCCCAGCATGTAGTTGTACTGCTCATTGTCCCTTAAGCCTCTGACACCTATTAGCTCTCATTAGCTTCCTGTGGTTCAGCGAGACAAGGCTCTGGCCTGTCAAATCAACAATAAAGTTATTTGTTGATGTTCTTCTAACAATCAGTTGCCTGGATTGTGACTTCAGAAAGTTAATTTCTAACAAACAGCTACACTGACACAGAGAGCATCTATGGACTTCAATAAGATGAAAATTGTATCTATTTAAAGAATAGCTTAACATTTAGAAAAACACATTTGCTTTCTTGCTGAGAGTTAGATGAAAATATCGATACCACTCTCATGTCTGTCCTTTAAATGATGGTACAGCTGGGTGACAGTTATGCTTATCATAAACTGGAATCTCGGGAAAAGAACTAGCTCATATCTGTCCAAGAGTAAAATAAAAACAAAAAATATCACCAAAGAGCACCTCTAAAACCTAATCAACACATTGTATCTCATTTGTACAAACACAAAGTGTTTTGGGGCTTCCTGGTAGCTCACCTGTTAGACCTGGCGCCCCATTTACCTTCGCTGCAGCTGCCATTCATTCAAATCTGGCCTGTGGCACTTCGCTACATGTCCTCCCCTCTCTCTCCCCCTTTCCTGTCCATCTCTCAAGCTGTCCTGTCAATTAAAGGGAAAAAATATATTTCTAAAAAAGCGTCTTTCTGAAGTCTCGAGTGAGGCTGCCAGGCAACCAATGGAGACTCCAAGAAATAGTCAAATAGTGTTTTTGTTTTTTTTAAGATCAAGTACGAATCAAACAAACGAGATATTGCGTGTTAAAACAACAGTTCAACAAATCTCTTATGCTGACAGATCCAGGTAAGCTTCTTCACCCTGTTCCCAGTCTTTTTGCTAAACTAAGCTAAGCTGCTGGCTGTAGCTTCATATCAAATGGATAGATATGAGAGAGGTATCGACGTTCTCATCTAGCTCCCAGCAAGTGAGTGAGCAAGTGAAAAAGTGTATTTCCCAAAATGTTAAACTATTCTTTTATTAATCATTTAAAAAACAATCATCTAAAATAAATAAATAAAGAACCTGCCAATGTCAGTGATTGGTTGAATTGCGTACTTTCCATCTTCTATTCTCTCTTCATACTCCCCTTCATGTATGATCACATACTACTTCTCCCTTTACCTTCAGTTTTGCTTGACTTACCTTCTTGTTACACTGTGTTACACCTTAATAAAACTCATCTACTTCATCCTAGTTTTTCTTCTACCGCCCCCTTTGTTTGTGCTACTACCCCACTCGCATCCTGTCTCATTCCCCACTCTCCCTCCTTTCTCTCGATTTTATCTGGGAGAAGTTTGCCTGGGGTCATTCACCTGAGCCTCCTCACCTGGCCTCTGACAGGCCTGTTGGGACAGCATGCCTGCCTGGTGAGGATAACGGTTGTCGAGGGCCGCAGGTAAAGTAACAAACTCTGTTTTCTGTCATGATGACATACCTGAGAAAAGAGAAGACCTTGGGGGAGTTGGTTTGCAACAGAGCATAGAGTCAAATACAAATAGACTTGTGTTGATTACAATATTGCCAGGTGAACAGAGGACTGTAGGGAAATCACTCAAAAAACATGTTTTCAAGTTCTATTTACATTTTTAAAAAGTTCTTTGTAAAAACAGCAAGAAACTTTTTCCTTTTATACAGCTAAAAAATTGTTGTTTTTTTAAAAAAAAAATAATACTTGAGGCTACAGTAGAAGAAAACATGTTTGTCTGTGGATTTAACATGAAGTTTGTGAAATGGAGCTGGATCCATTTCCAGCCCACTGCTCTTTATGTAATGTCAGTCGTGTCTTTTAGTCACTGGCAGTTGATGTGTGTTTGATTAGTGGGACTGGAACCGTCAGCAACCAGAGATGACGTACTGTACTGAGCCTATGCTGCACCGACCACCACCACAGCTTCCAGCCATGCACCTGTTCCCTCAGCCTGCTCTATCTCTCACTCTCATTCTCACTCACACACTCACACACGTCTGTGCCTGCGGTTTCAACTTGGCTTTTTCTCATTAAAGACTCAGTGAAATTTGACAGCTTTTGACAGCGAAGGTTTCCACATAGATCCTGCCATAGTGACAGATATCCGACAGCTTGATGATAACTGCTGCCTTATGGCAGAAACACAGGTGTCCCTCATGGCTGATGACAATAGGCAGCTCTGAGTGATGGACGGGTTTGATGAAAAGTTACAGAGCTGGAACAAGTGGAAAGTGTGCATGCTGGGACAAATGCAAGACTGGGACTGTGAACTCAAACTAACTCAAGAATCAGATCACTCACTTCAGTTTTAAGGGTTTCACTAGTTGTACTTTGTAAGTTTTCAGGATTACTTACTAACCCTTGATTTAAGTTTATTAATGAGACTAGCCAACCTCAACAATTCCTCCAAGGCCCCCTCCATACTTTTGCACCTACTCCTTGCCCCCCACCCCTCTCCTCCTTTGCCTCCTCCTCCACCTTCTGCCTGTAAATCAGCTCCTTAGCGCTGCTTTTAATATTGCTTGAGTGTGCAGTCTTTTTAACGCGCTCTGGCGTTCACTTCTCTCGCGTGCCCTCTGTCAACAGTAAACTTTCTGAAAAGCGAGCTTAACAGGCCGTGAAAGGGCGGCACAGATGGCTACATCCTAGGTGGTAATTATCAACTACTTCCTCCCAACACACAAAAAAAAAGAAACAAGCGAAGGTGTTGCCGTCAGGTCAACTGATGCCGCTGACACATTCGTAGGCTCCCTGGCAGTGAGCTCAAACCGATGTACAGGAAGGGGCCTTCTGGAGCGCAGACAGCACGTTGACAGTGTCACAGGTCAAGTACAGCCATAAGAGGATGATTTTTGGCTTCAGTGCACATCAGCCAGACGGAGATCTATATTAAAACTCAAATCTAGTTGGCAAGAAAATAACAGTTTTTCTAATATACTATACTGCAGGCGGTGGTTTAGCTTGATGTCATATCTTGTTTAACGGAAGTTCTTGAGAAGTATTTTAATTGCGTTCTAATGGGTAAGTTCTGATGTTGTGTAATGTACAGTAGACAGGCAATAAAAGCCAATTAGTCTGAAAGTGCTTTCAGTCGGCAATAGGTGTTGGTAATGGCTGAGTTTATGCACACTCTAAACAAGCAAGAGGTTGTTTTTTGAAGAGCTTAACCATTTATTTTGCTGTAGATCTATTAAAATTGAAGGTGACAGCTAATTTGAATCCTCTTTAATTTGGGAGAAATTTAATACACTACAAGGTGATAGGCGAGGCTCCCCCTACCTCCGTACAAGCCGCCCGCCGCATGCAAAAATATGTAAATGCTGCCCGTATTAGAATCTTTGTCTGGTTGTCATTCTCACATGGGGCACATCAAAGCCATATGACCTGATTTTGCACCTGCTGTTTAATTAAATTTACAAGACAGACACAGTCTCCACTCCCGGTGATATACAAATCTGGCTTTATTACCCCGGCACTGTAATTTACAAGGCAATTTACTGCTGGGCGGTAATGGTGCCTGCCAAAGTGCTCCCTCTGAAAAGATACACAAACGTGCACAACAACAAGTAATCCCATTTCCCTTCTTGAAGATGGGGCCGAGAATGCCAAGACCACTCTATAAAATGCAACCACAGGATCAGTGATTGCGTTGTTGAGGCCTACAAGGTAATCCACTGTATGTTCGTGGGACTTGCCTCAATCTTCCACTTGCTGCAAAGACGAAATTTAACTTTTAAACATTTTTTTTTTTAAACCTGCCATGAACATGTCACGATAAGTCTAGTGGGGAATAACATTTCCACTGAACATTTCCACAGAAATCTCAGTAGGACCAGTGTGTGGTGTCATGTTGACATGTGCAGATGAGCTACATTGAATTAGTAACACTTTCATACAGTGAAGACTGCGAAAAAGCGAAGAAACGAAAGTGATTCATATTTGGTATCAAGACTCTGGCCTCGTCACTCCCCACAAGCATACATACACCAAGCTCAGGGTTTGGGGAGTTACGGTAATAAACTCCTCCCCTGTGAGAACTGAGACCCAGGACTGGTCTATGCTAGACAAGAACTAGTTAAAACGATCTGTTTATGAACTGTTTTTATAGCTCTCCAGAAAGACTATACTCATAGGTGGAGTGAATAGGTGACCGTCATACAGAGGGGCGAGACGTGATGAATGTTTAAACGTGAGGATAATGCCGCACATTTTCATACAGTCTCTCCTGGAAGGGATTCATAGTGTTGCACTCGGTTATAAACACAAAAACTGACATAGAATAACATACTGTAAGGGATGAAAAAAAGAAAGCATGAGAGAATTTCAAAGCCTGCTTACTTTCTCACCTCTCACATGGTCAATAACTGTGTGAAGTAGGTGTGAATGTCGGTTTGTCGATTGCCTAAAGTTACAGAAATCTTCAACATCAGAAAGGTGTGGAGGTAGGGGGTTTCCGAAGCTTGACCATGCGACAACCACTTTTGATGAATTCTGGTGCCTTCAGAGCCTACAGGTGGATTCTGAGGTGGGTGTGGGGCTCATGAAATGCTATATGCAGTAAGTAGCTATAATAGGCTCACAGCACAAAACCAGCTGCAGTAGTCACTGCAAAAGCAAGTGTTTGCAAATGAGCACTGCAGCAGCAGCATACCGCTAGGTAAAAGAGTGAGCAGAGCATAGACAACTTAAATATCACAAAGGGTGAATTGGATATATTTTATATATATAGCTACATGAAAAGTTGGCTTCAACCAGCTTGCAGGCTTTACTTCATTTTTGTTAACCAACTCAAGTTAAGAAGAGCAGATTTATTATGTAAATACATAATATGAACAAAGTTGATATTAGGCTCAGACTATTGCTCACCGAAAGGATACACCAAGCACAGCACAGCACAAAACCACATTAGATGAGCCTGACAACAGCTGTTAGATAGATTCTACTATATGCTGCTATATGTGCACTGGGCTCCAGCTGTGGCCATCCCCTGCTGGACACCTCTGCCTATGAAGTGAATATGTTATCTAGTGAGCACCTCTAACCATTGCAGAGAATTATAAAAACAAATGAAATGACACTTAAGCTATACAGGATAAATTATTACGTAAGCATATATATAAGTTTATGGCTTGGAGTAAAAAAAAACTCTTGATAAATGAGTAGCAGAACAGATGACTTGTAGAACATGGATAGGATGAAGATTTACTAAAGAGATGATTATGAATGAAGTGACATCCTGTAACGCATCATGCATGCGAGTGTATGTCAATGTAACATTGAAGCTTCAGTTTGTCCTTCTAAGCCCTGGTTCTACAGGGTCTAGGGGGTTGAAATGCTGCAGGTTTGATTGCAGATGTGTGCATGTGTGCATGCATATGTGTGTGGACGCAGATTTGCAATTGCACGTGAATCTGAGACATGCCCCTGGTTGCAGTAGAGTGTGCATCTCAGGCAATCCATAATAGATGATGAAATTTGGCAAGCCGTCCAGCCTTATGGTCCTTTCCTCCTCCTGCAGCTGCTTGTTTTCCCAGAACTCATCTGTGCTGCTGACCAAGAGTTGTGTGCGTATCTGAGAGAGAGAGAGAGGGGGGGGGGAGGGAGAGAGAGAGATTGAGAGAGAGGGAGAGAGAGACTGTGTCCGTATGTCACTGTCTTTGCCCACAAGCACTCCACAAGCATCTTTCCATTCCTCAATATGTCAGACTTGAATATGAAAACAGGCAACTTTTTCATCACTCAACAACCATGTGCACATATGGCCACAAAGCTGATGGTGAATGTCAAACTTGAGTAGAAAGGCCAAGGAGCAATGACAAAGCGACAAAGCACCGCAGACTATAAATCGTAGCCACACTGTGGTGACGGAGACAGATCACATAGAGATATCGGCCCAACATTAAATGCGATAATTTTACAGATGTAATTTTAACAAAAATCTCCAGGGATATGATTGTATTGAAATATTGCGTCAAAATGTGGAATCTGTGCAAATAATGGATAATCTTAAGAAAAAAATCGCTATAAGAGAGAATCTAATAAGACAATTGTCTAATCACTTATTGTGTTACTTGCTTCGTCTCACTTCATTGTAGGGATGCAGCCATGTTTCTAGATCTTTGCAATTACTTTAGTGAGTACATTTTTATCATAACCAATAGAAATAATAGCCAAAACTTTCAAAGTAAGACCAAAGTTATAATTCCCCAGAATAGTCCTTTAAGTGATATTAATGATCTGGCCCATGGTTCAGAGAGTGGGTGAACCTTTGTCTGCTCTCGAGTGGGTAACTTTGATCAAGAGTTGTTGAGGATGGTCAGTGATATATTGTTGTAATTTATGAAACATTATTAGCTGGTACTGTGGCCTCAGGCCTGCTGGACAAATTGTTTCAAAGTCATTGAACCACAAAGTTCTAAGTTTCTTCCTGTCCAACGCACTTGGATCCATACAAACAGTGGTGAGTAGTGTGCCATGATTGATGGGATAGGGTGGGCTGGTAAGGTGGGATGCCTGTGCGCAGGCTGTACAGCAGCTGTTTTCTCCAAGCTCGAGGAGAGCAGAGACAGAGAACGAGTGTGTGAAAGTGAGAGAGAGAGAGGTCGAATAGAAAGCGAAGGGAGGGCAGAAGGAGGACGAAGAGAAAAAGCAGGTCTACCTTCCTCTTGCCCTTCAGGCAGACCAGGTGTCTATAGCTCCACGCTGAGTCGTACCACAGTACCTGGCACGCTGCTCTCAAACAGGTCCTTCTCATCGTTCTCCCCTTCCCCAAGGATGGCCACAATTAACACACACACACACACAGAGTGCACAGTGTATAGAAAACATGCCGAAAATGACAACGCCCCAAGCCACAGCACATGGAAAGGAAAGAGAGAGAGAGGGAGGGAAAAGAGAGAGAAATGAGGGAAACAAAAAGAGAGGGAGGGAGCCAGAGAGGCACACCGGAGAGCGTGTTTTATAAAGGTGCAGGTGCAGGATTTGAGTGACTGCCAGGTTGCACTCTCCTTTTGGTTCCATATTAACGTTGTCAGCTTTTTACCTCCCCTCTCCTCACCTGCACAGCTCCATTCCTCACCATGTTCTGCTGTTCGCTCATTTTCAAGTGCTCCCCTCACACCCAGACGCTACAGGAAACACAGAAGAAAGTTTGGCAGAAACTTTAAGCCTTGCAGCCATTCTTTTTCTATTTTAGAAATATTTTTGAAGCGCTGGATGGAAACAACGAACAGGCTAAATCAAAGCTAACAGCAACATTTCAGTGCACCACTGTTGGTAAAGGTCAGAGATGCACACACTTTTTGACAAGATGTCACTCAGTTCTGGTGAGTCAGCTGAAGGGGGGTGCTGGGACATTGAATAATTAGGCACCTGTGTGATATAACAACTGTAGAGACACAACACTAAGTCATGACTTGTGTCATGCGGGTCTGAGTCAGATGTTGCATGTCATTGGGGATATGACAGGACTGCGATTTCAGTCAAATCCATCATCATAACAGGTATGTTTTTAAAATCCTGACAAAAAATATGTTATACAGCTATTACATCAGAATTCATTTTAAGGTTCCATATGAAATATTCTGCATTTTACATATTAATGTTTCATATTAATCACCTGTTATCGGGTTGTAACATAAAAATGAGTCCTTCCCCAGCTCAATTGATTGCTTGTTTGTTTGTATGCATTTCTATGTAGGGATGCAGTCAGATTAATGCGAAAATAAAAGGATGTGACGAATGTGCTCTCGAGTGCCTTCATTTTCTGATTCCCTACAGTATCAACAGCGTGCAACACTAAGTCCAAAGTCAAAGCTAACATTACTGCAAAGCTTGTAAAATATATTATATGTATATACATATATAAACATAGCTAATGTTAGCTTGCTTGCCAACACGGACAAGATAGCTAAAATAGAAAAATACTAACCACATAGCTAACCCATAGCACAAAGCTAATTTTTCTAACCACATAGCTAACCAAGCAAAATGCTATGGTTCGCTTGCTAATGGCACTAGCTGCGGCTTGGCTGGTCTGGAGTTGGTTGCTTTGTGGCGTTGGCTGATGGGGTGATTTGTAAAGGGCAAGATAGTTCATAGAAAATTATTGGAATATTGCAGATAGTAACATTATTCTAAATATGATTGTAATTTATTTTCCAGCATTCAGTCAGGTGTATGTATGTATGTTTTGGCCAATGCCCAGGCTGATTTTCTATAATCATCAGGTTATCTCCTCAGACAAGACTCCAGAGCCACAGAAGATATAGAACTATTATTTTCAATAACAATCTGTTTGACGACTTGGCGGCAACGGAAACAAGCTATGAACACAACACTAACATATTATCACATTTTAAAGGGACATTGTGTAAGAATTTCTCCCATCTAGCGGTGAAATTGTATTTTGCATTCAAACGAATAGTGCTCTCTAGTGCCTCGCGTTTTCAAATACGTATTGCAACTACGGAAGCTGTTATGTACCAAGAAGCCTACCTGTCGAGTAGAAAGCAGGCAACTTCAGCGTCCCTTTGAAAGTCTTTCTCCTTCATTAGCTCTTTCCACCTGGGAAAAGCTACCCCGATGTTTACCCTCGTTTTTTGAATTCGCCGGTCATGTTGCTTTTTTAATTCCGTTTTTCGCTTTTTTGGCTTTGTTTTTGGTCTCCACCAACTTATATTTGGCTCTTGAAATAAACGCTGCAATATGTTCACTAGCTCATCACTAACTTTGTCTGTTGGACAGCTTACAGCAGGTTTTTACAGATTATTTATAAAAACAGCTGATAAAAAGTAGCATAGAACTGAGAAGTCTGGGGTGATACATGTATGTTCATTCCTATGAGCAAACCTATTAACATATTGATTATAGCCACTTTAACTCCACTTCAGTTTGCATGATTCCTTTACAGACTCAGATAGTCGTCTATTTCAATGCAAAAATGCATGATGGTCAAGCTAAAAACAAGGCTGTTAATAGACAAAAAATTATATACACAGCACCTGTGTTTGCACCTTCACTGAAGAATAGCTGGCAGTACAGACACCTAACCATGGGCCCTTTGAAAATATCCCTGCACTGGCCAAATCACAATGAATAGGCCCATGTGTGTCAGTGTGTGTGTTATATCTCCAATCCCCAGTTTCTACACCTCTGCACAAGCTGCTATTAGAACCTCGATACTTATCTGTGTAATTAAGCTTTCATGTCATCATTTTATCACGTCATTTATTTATTCTTGTCCCTACAGATGTTTGCCTTTATACAGAGAGCTATTTTTAATCAGTGAGACAGATGTCTCTTGTGACAAAAGCAAACTTTTAAATTCAGTGAAAGGCACCCACATACATTTCATACGCACACATGCAAACAATTATCATAACTAATGTTGTTATTTTTATGGATTATTTCTATGGATGCTACAGTTTGTAATGTTAAATAAATCACTATTTAGAGTACTGCTGAATTTTGAGAAATGAAAAGTGGAGTGTGAGCTGTTAATTTGGAGTAGATTGTGACTATCACAACCTACTGACAAAATGCTATGCAGTGAGCAAGTTCATGTCTACTTTTAGTATTCTAATTCAGCGTGTATTTGATCAATGTTTAATTCATTCAATTCATAATTTCTATTCATTTATTTTACCTTTCTGGATTAGTTAATGGTATCAGGTATTGTAATATGCATGAGATCTCTACTCAGATCACTGCAGATGTAGCCGTGGAAATAGTTTTTTGTCAGTGATGTATAACAGTGTAATTTCTCATACTGATGAAAAGTAATCCCGTCCTGTACATGCTATGTGGCCATGCTTGACAGAAGCTAAGCTTGGAGAGGAAAAAGTTTCACAAATGGCCAAATGTCACTAATTAGTTTGAACTCTGCATTTTTGATGAAGCCAGTTGGTGTGGTGGGGTGGTGGTGTTGGCAGGGGGCAGCGGGAAGAGGGGGAATTGATGGGCTGTGCCTCAAAATGTAAATTAAACAAAAGGCGGGAGTTCACATGACAGCTTTGGAGGGGCAGGGCTGGAGCCTTCTGATTTTCTGTGTGAGAAGGAGAACAAGTGGAGCACAGTGCACCAAACATTGGCACATGGCAAACAGCTCGGAGGCAGCGGAAGCAAAATAACTTCTGTTCTAGGGAACAACAAAGGAGGAACAAACAGCGTGGCCCACAACTTTTTGGTCCTTATTATTCTGTGATTTCGTAATCAAGAGGATGGGATCTGATCTACAAACCATGGACAGCTGGTTCATTTCCACCGCCGGGCCTTGTGGGAGATGTAGTTTCTTCTCTCAACGACATATGCAAATCCCAACTGTCCCTCCCCTCTCTCTCCATAATTGCCGACTTTTCAGTAACAGAAGGAGGCCCATTTGTGTGTGTGTATATGTGTGTGAGACAGTGTGTCTGTGTGTGCAGCCTATGCTCTCGTCAGGGTCCAGCCTTATTTCAAGGGATAAATAAAAGATGCAGAGTTCTTCTAAAGGAGCCCGGCAGAAGGTAGACACAGACAGGCAGGATACAGAGGGATTCTTTAGAGAATCTGGGCCACGCATGGCGTTGCATCGATTCTCCATTTGGGTTTCACAAGGTTCAAACACACTGCATTGTGGGCCGCAGATTGTGTTGCCTGGGCGTCCCTCAAGTGACATGTAAAAAGCCGGCCCCCCATCTGCCTGACAGATTTGTGCGGGCAGGCCCTGAAAGCTTTGGCAGAGAGAGACAGGTGGGGATGGACAGACAGACAGACTGAAGGACGAGTGCCACTCATCACCCCTCAGCTGTCACCAGAGAGGAGGAAGTGAAGCTAACTTTACTGGTGACAAGCTGTGGCAGACAACAAACAAAACTTTGCCAAGCTAAGCAACAAACTAAACCTGCGCAGAGCTTCACAGAGTGACTGTGGAGTGCTACACCTGTCTATTAGCTCCTGGAAGCTCCATAGGGCAGGAAACAGACCTGCTGATGATACACCCTGACAGCCTGCATCAGGGTAAATTATGGTAATGGAATGCAGTCATCTGCCTGGTGCCATTTGACTCGACAAAAACACTTAAACACTCCATCTATTTCTCTAAGTGGGAAGCAGAGAGGCCATCTTGGATGGGTGGGCCTGTGGGTTTTTTGACAGGAACAGAGCAGAAGAAACCTAGTGACGCTACAGAGACATCCCACAGTCTGTTCAACACAGAGGCAGGCGGACATGCCTCCTCAAAACCTGCCAGGATAGATGGATGTGTTGCCATATATTTAATATGAGAGTACAGACATGAAAGGATGTTTACTTGGAGCATGACTAAAACTGAAAATGTAAGCATTTTAAATGCAATTTCTGGGATTTAAAAAAAAATAATTCAGTAACCTAACATTTTATTTTCCAAATTTGTTTTAAATGTTTTGGTGGGTAAATTTTATTCCATATTTGTTGCCGACTGTCACAATAAAGCAATAATGTAATATATATGATTTGCTAAAAATTTGTAAACAGGGTTTGTTACAGAAACATTGCGATTTTCAAAATCTCAGTAGTAGTAGAAGTTAAAGGGAATAATTTAACACAAATTCACTTATTCTTTCTGTGTATCAAGTATGAAGCTAGAGCCAGGACGCAATTGGCTTACCTTAGCTTAAAGACTGGACGCTAGGGGAAACAGCTAGCCTCTGTCTGTCAAAAGTTCAAAAGACACACCTGCGAGCACCTCTAAAGATCTCAACCTTCCATGTCATATCTTGTTCGTTCACATCAGTTCACAACAGTAATGTAAAAACAACTGCGACTTGCAGAAAAAAAAGGCGAGATCTCTACTTCCAGCATTTATGCTAAGCTAAGCTAACCACCTAATGCATAGATACGAGAACGATATCAGCCTTCTCAACAAACTCTCATCAAGAAAGAGTATAAGCTTATTTCCCAAAATGTCGAAATGTCTAAAGTAGAGAATTTTTCAACATGCACATTCAAAAAATCCCTCCCTGGGTGGATAACATTAGACATGCTTTTAGTCTGATCACATTAGGGTTGTTAAGGGCCACGATGTAATGACTGTTCAATCAAATCAATGCTCCCATTCAAACTCGGAATCAATAGCAATATGTTCTCATTATGAAATGTATCTTCTTGC